CTGATACTACGGTATTAGAATACTCTCTCTCTTCCTCCTCTTCTTCTTCTCTCTAGAGTATTATGTCGCATACTTTATATAGTCCTGGAAGAGTCCATGTTGTAGGTATGTTACGGTCTCACAATAAAAAGCTTGTGGAGAAACTTCCAGGATGATATAAAAGCAATGCATCTCGAATGACATGACAGTGAAAGAACAGCAGCTTAGTGTGATTTCTTCCCAATGTGCTCACCAGTACTGGATGACTTAATTCTAACTTTAATTATCGAATAAGTGAAATACGGATGACCAAAAACCAAAAAATCATTTCTTTTTTATCATTTCCCCCAAACAAAGCGGTAAGGCAAGAGGTTGCAGGGAGTGAAGGAAAATAAGAAGACACTCTTCTTCATTATGTGCCATGTCCCTTCAGCACATAAATGCTCATAGCCCTCTACGTCTTCCTGTCCCTTGTAGCTCTTAATAGATTTTGTCTTTTTGCTATTTCTCTCAAACTCTATTCTACCACCCATCAAGAATGTCGGGCGCTATTTTCCTCTGTCCCGCTTTTACTCAAACTGTCCTGTAAGTATTAATTTTTCCAAGCCTTCCTTCCTCATTACGTGCTCCAAAATTTTCAACTTCCTCCTCTTGATGTTAAGTATAAGTTTATTTTTCACTTCCATTTTCTCTAAAGCCACGTCGTTGCTCACATGTTCGGTACACGGTATACTCAACACCCTTCTGTAGAGCCGCATTTCTGATGCTTCAGGATTCAAGAAAACAGAAAACGGGGATTGATGTTGCATTTAAACGTTTCAAGATGGTAGCAAGATTAAATGGGAAAGGCAAAGCTCTATTGCCAAAATTAAACTTTTTCATATGACGGACGGCGATCTAGTTACATACAATTGTAAAATTTTCACTTCTGTGTATTACCGGTTGTTTGTCAATCGAGAATCGATGATAACGTCTTCTGGATGCTTGTTTTATCATTGCAGCAATTTGCAAATGACCAACAGACACTATTCCTTTCTTATTTATTTTCCTCTGCGTGTGTGCTTGTTTCTGAAACTTACTTTTCACGTAGGGCGACCGGAATGGACAGTCTATCGCAGATATGTCACTTCCGGTCATACTTCTAATATGGCTGGCGCACAAAGAACACTTTGTCTCAGAAGGTTTTCTTTTACTTTTTATTTTCATTAATATTCTCGCAAGTTAATCACGATTTTTCTAAAATCAAAATCTTAAACCGAGAAATACAATGAATATCAAAAATTAATAAAACAATCATAGTGATAGCTTCACGACAGGCTTTGTTGTAAAACTAGAAAGAAATTCTATTAAAATGTCCATGTAAGTTGCGAAATCTGTCAGTTATTTACTGTTTCATTTTTCCTGATAGAAAAAAGTTCATTACAGACATCATGAGAATGATTTGCTGTGTTTCGTCTTCATTTGTCTTGAGGAAAATTTCAAGGAAATTTTAGTAGTTCAATTTTTTATAGGGACGAATTTAATTTTTGATTTCTTTTTTTATTGCATAAATTATCTTCGTTATTATTCACGTATTGATATGCCAGGATTGTGATGGATTCATTATGATCTTAGAATTATTTTCCAATTACTGATTTTTTTATTTATTTATTTAACAGTTGGAACATTAGATGTGGAAATGTGTTTAAAAACTGACACAGTGGAACCTCGGATATCGTGCACCTTTACTATCATTCGATTCGGTTATCGTTCACTTTTTTTGGTAAAAATATGTCTGTGGAATTGTACATATTCTCGCTTATCGAGTCCGTTAAGAACCTGTATATTCTTGTTCACTTGTTGCCGCGTAACTTTCCAAGCACAAACGGACAGAGAAGTGAAATAAGCGCTCAGTTACTGGAATATATAACCAAGACTTATTGGAAGTCTTTATTGATGGTGAATTCCCCAGCATACATAAAGCAATATTTGAGATTTTCAGTTAGGCATGTAAAAAAACGGAACGTCACAAATTATACGTAAGTTTATTCAACAAGTCGATTGCACGTGAAACATGATTAACCGATGAAAATCAAACAACACAAAAATTAAAAAAAAAAAGAGTAATAGCTTTCTTCTTTTTCTTCATATCTCATATTCTGATAAAGCTTTAATAAAAGTGAAAGATGTTAGACTGATAAACATTTCCTATTTGTTCTTTATCTTATCATTATCATCGGGTTCCGATGTATATTTGATCCCAACTCTCTCTCTCTCTCTCTCTCTCTCTATATATATATATATATATATATATATATATATATATATATATATATATATATATATATATATATATATATAAAGTATGTGTGTCTGATTAAATAAATTACAGACATTATGCCTGCTAATTTTAACAAAATCCGTTCATACTCACGAATAACCTTCCGTGTATTGATATTAAAGGATGAGAGAAATGTGCTATGGCTGTTTAAATTTCTTTTATTTTCATTTCCCAAGTACTTTCGATCTTCTTCCAAGATCGGCTTCATTTAACATCAATACACGGAAGGTTATTTATGAGTATGAACGGATTTTACTAAAAATTGGCAGATATAATGTAGGTAATTTATTCAATCAGACATGCCTAAAAGAGAAATATGCTACATATATATATATATATATATATATATATATATATATATATATATATATATATATATATATATATATAAATTTAACATGTAGCGCTTTTTAAGTATAGAAAATTAGGAAATCATCTGATTTCGCTAGTTTGGTTTCAATGAAGCAGAATCGGCTGATTTCTAATTTTCTAGACTTAAAAGCGCTACATGTTAAATTTTTATATGCGTATTGAGCACATTTTAATACTACTGTTTCTTGGTTTACTTCAACTCTGCCAATTAACTTCTTTATATATATATATATATATATATATATATATATATATATATATAAGTTAAGAAAAACTTGGTAATCCGTATGGTTAATACCAAGGAGGGTGAAATCCTGAGAGCTCAATTTAATTCCAGAGCTAATTTTAAAGAAAAAACAGACTACTTTAAGGTACCATTATAATAATTTATTTCACCAGAGTCCTTTTAAAAGAGGCCGGATCATCAGATAGCACTTGCAAAAATTAAATGAAACCAAAAATGAAATTAACATTGATGGGCAGTGTAAGATTTTGTAATTTAACAGAGAGTGTAAAAGGGACCGTTAAAGAGATATGGTAGAGTATAGGGAGGGATTAATTTCATATCTCTCTCAAGTATACTTTATATTGGGGGAGCAGGAGTGACCAGACATTGACCTATTTAAATAGTTAACTTAACGGAAGTAAAATATTGAAATGGGAGGGGAGAAGGGAGAAAAGAAAAAGGAAAAAGGAAGAAGAGGGAGAGGGAAGTAAAGAGAAAGAGGCTGTAATTGGGTTTTAGCAATTTATGTAAAGAATACATTTTAATGCTTGGTAGTAATTTAGATGTCTAAAAAAGACCCGAAGAAATTAATATGATGCTTGCTAGTAATTTAAATATTTAACTTTTTTACAAATAGTTTAGAGATTTGATATTAGTTAAATACTATATTTATTAACACATTTATAGAGAACATATTAAAAAAATTTTAAATTCTAACAGTTTGTTTAATTCGACCAGTAGCACTTTTTTTTTAATATTGTAAAAAACAGTTGCGGTAACATCTTTATCAGTTTGAATCTAATTTATGAATGTAATTTGTAATTATTTTTATATGGGTAATCTTTCTTACTTAAAGTTTAGGTTTCGAATTAAAATGGAGTAATATTTGAGGGTAATATTAAAGATATATATATATATATATATATATATATATATATTCTAAATTCATGAATCATTCATACAAAAACAAATATAGAGTAATGAATGATTCATGAATTTATAAATTATATTGCACCTTTTATTTGAAATATATATATATATATATATATATATATATATATATATTTATAAATGTCAAAGACAATAGGAAAATTGTGATAGCTGCCGACACGTTTCGTTTTTATTAAATGTCTATTTCAGTTTATTACAGTTTTCTCTGAGAAATTTTCATATATATATATATATATATATATATATATATATATATATATATATATACACAAGTATATGTTTGGTGTATACGGAATAAATTCAAATAACCAGGAATTACTATTCTTAAAAGAGTGCTCAATACAGAGTAAAGCAGAAATAATTATTTATTCAAAATTATAACTTAAATATGTTATAAAATTTACAAAACTAGCCATTTTGTTTCAACACATCCGGTGTCTTATCAATTGATGATGTTGAATGTAATCACTTGATAAGACACCGGAGGTGTTGAAACTTAATGGCTATTTTTGTAGTGGTTTTATAACATATTTATGTTATAAATTTTAAATAAATAATTATGTGTGAATAAAACGAGAAAAAAGGAAAACTCTTCTTAGACGACGCGTTTCGCCCTCTGAGGGACTTTATCAAGTTAATTACCTTGTAAAATGCTCTTTTTATTCATTTCATTCCTTTATAGTGACACTCTATCTGAAAATAAATGATATATATTTTTTTCTGTTTTTATCTCTTGTTTTTATAATATTTTTACTATGTCTTTCATTTAAGAAAATTTCAACTCTATTAGTTTCTGTAATTATTTAGATATTGTCGCTTATATAAAGACCCGCAGACATTTTGATCATTTTTAAGTACGCTTCGGTGCTTCATCATGATTAACAACCAAATCGTAATGTGTGCATTTCTTACTGGGCGCCATATATCTCTAGTATTTGTACCAAACGAAACTAATTTTATTAAATAATGACTGTTTAATCAGCTTGAACTTTGCTTGTTCCAGTCAGACAGATTTTTACCAGCTACGCAAGATGCCGAGGCAATGAGAATTTTCGTGATCAAAACGATTGACCTCCATCAAATCCTGGACATTTAACATCTATGACCGATTTTCAAAATAATAGATATCCATGCTGAGCGATACGTGAATTTATGGCTTCTCATTCGGAGCGTCCAATACTTTTTATCCTCTCACTTCCTCCTGCTTCCAGCCCAAACCTTTCCGTTCGGAGTATACTGTGCACATTCTCGAATAACGTCCACTCGTTTGATCAGCAACATCACAGATGGCGTCCTACATCGGAGCACAATCAAGATGGCTTTTCAACCAACGCTAATACGTATGTAATACATTGACCGATCATGCATTTTCGTGGCCTTGAGATTATTAATGATAGATACAAACCTAACCAGATAGGATAAGCAGGTGACATGATGTTGATGGCAGACAGGGGGACTGGAACAAAGGAGTTAGCATCAATTGTAAGAAAACTGAATGTATGATCCTTGTCAAGAAGGACAGCCCAGGATGCAAGCTACAAACTTATGACCTCATAATCAAACAAGCACTGACATTTCACTTTTGATGTTTTAACAGACGGAAGATAATGGGATACAGATATCCGAAAGAAGACTTCAAAGATAATTGATTGATTGGTTCGTTTCTACGGCTTATCAATCATTTGCAGGTTATTTAAAGCCAGAAAATATTTTAGAATGTGAGATTTGGGGGGCGGGGTAAGGGGTAGATATTTTTTTTAATCATTTCACCCCAGGCAAATTGGGAATGCCACTAATACGTAGGGATTTACAGAGAGTGAAATTCAGTGAAATGATTGCGTATAAGAGTTTTGGGAAAAAGATAAAAAGATTAACAGGATTAGGAAGATAACGAATAATGATGCAATTAATTTTTTGCAGATTGTTTTTTTTCACGGAAGCAAGTACAAGGAAAGGAGTTACACAGGTGGGAAGTGCAAAACTTCTGAAATACAAGTAGTGGTTAGTTTTAACTATTTCAACAGTATAAGGGTGGCACTTGATACACGCTTAAATTCACGCAATCGGGGGCATCAAAGAAAAAGGCTCATCAGAGGAGTTGTCATGAAAATATTTTCAGAAAAGACATAGGGAAGCCACATCACCTCGGTGAGAAAGTCACTGAAGTCGAGATGCTTCTTTGGATTTTGTCCAGAACATCGAGATGAACAGCAGGAGCACCAGACCAGTTATGGCAGTAGTATCCAAGGCCCGAACGAATGGTAGATTTCTAAATGTGCAAGACCTTCTGGCACGACACAATGACCCAACTTTCCTTGCAGTAGATGCAGCTATGGTTTAGTGACACATGTCTTACTAATATACCCATAGTCAAGGGAGAAGTGATGGATTCATTCATTTTTCCAGTGGTATTTACGCGTAAGTGAATATAAGGAACCCAACTAGAATTGGAACTCAGCTATCCGATTAAAAAAATTCCTAGCCATTATCCATTATACCACCTGCACATCCAAGATTGCAACACCTCTGTATTCCCAAGCGGTCACCCATATAGGTGCTAACCAGGTTCGACGTTGCTTAACTTCGATGATCGTAAGGAAACCGGTGAGAAATAAAGAAAAGAATGCTGAAATATTATGTACTTATCAATCCAGTATTTACTACTATATATAGCAGTAAATGCAGGATTATTTCCTCTCAGATGAAGAGGAAAGTCAAGGCAAGTGAGATGTAGTTCTGTAGAAGGATGTTGAAATGTTATGGAGGGATAATGGAAAGTAGCTTTAAGGAAAAGGGAAACAAAAAAGGTCTTATCGGAAAGAGGCAACTGAAATTTCTGGGAGACACAAGGAAAGAGTGCTTGGAGAATTTGACACTCCAAGGATATAATCAAGGCAAGGAGGTGCAGACAGAAACAGCGTGTAACTTATTAACTAACTTCTGTGATGAATGGTTGATAGAACAGAGGGTTAAAAAATGATAACTTCTTCAAAGAAAAGGAAGATGTGGAAAGCCATGATCATTCACGTCCTTGAAAGGACATGACTTATTGATTAGTAACTTTCTTTCTATTATTTTGGTCTCATTCTACTAGGGATACATTTTTATTCGTCTCTTGAGAATAATATCCATTATTTCAAATTCCGCAGATATTCGAATCGTTTTTCCATATAATATTTTTTTTTGAATCCACTTCCGTTTCCTTCTTTTTTTTTCATTTGCATTCATTTAGGGTACTCGTGCGACCCCAGTACTTAACTCTGAACAAGCGGATAAATCATAGTAAATAAATATCAAAACTGTCTGCCAACTACGGCCAAGTCCGCCCAGTTATTTAACCAACACCTCTGAGGAGAAGAAATGTATCCATAACTTCTCCAAGGCTATTTGTGCAAGAGTAAATGTCACGAACTCGACCGGAATTCGAACTCGGTTCGTTAATTTTTGATTCCGAATTGATAACCATTACGCAACTCGTACATCGTTTTCCTTCCTTTTTTTTTTTTTTTAAATATAATATGACCATTTTGTTTAAAGTTCTTATTTTCTCGATTTCACATATGATCTTAGAAATTCTCTAATATATTACAGCAAAATGTTCACATTCCAAACTTGTATTATGCAATTATAATTTAGGTATAACTCTCAGACTTCATGAATTTAAGCGATTTGCTAGGCTGGCATCTGGCTCACACCCTTTCACTGTCGAAACTGTTAAATGTAGCCTTCACTTCTACTCCAACAGCTTCATGTCTCGCACCTGTGGAACTCCCTCCCCTCTTCCTGTTTCCCTGATAGCTATAATCTCCAACTATTCAAATGTAATGTCAATCGACGTCTCCACATGCCTTGATCTATCCCCAATCCTTCTCTTCATCCTTTCCTCTATCACTCTTATTTGCTCTAGCTCCAACTCACTGTAACCCCTTGCGTGATAGTGGCTTCCCGCCTTGCTTGGGGTGAAACGCTTATATATATATATATATATATATATATATATATATATATATATATATATATATATATATATATATATATATATATATATATATATATATATATATATATATATATATATATATATATATACACACACACATATATATATATATATATATATATATATATATATGTGTGTGTGTGTGTGTGTGTGTGTATATATATATATACACACACACACACACATATATATATATATATATATATATATATATATATATATATGTGTGTGTGTGTGTGTGTGTGTGTATATATATATATATATATATATATATATGTATGTGTATATATATATATATATATATATATATATATATATATATATTGTAAAAAAGACGTTATAAGTTTAGACTGGTGCTAGGAAGATATAGGTTAATAAAATCTTCCATTGCCAGATTAGTGAATTAAATGCTCATTGGATACATATGAGAGTTTCTAAGGTATATTTTATATAAGTCTACCATTGAAGTGATATTCTTACTGGATATAACTAGTTTTCTCTTCCTATATAAATACCTTAGAGTTAACTTTGTTGTCCTATTTCTTCCGTTTCTATATTGTTCAATTTGTCTTCTTTTATTATATTTTTTCTCCTGATACAGTAATTTCCTCTCGTATTTTCCTTCTTTTTCAAAGACTACTACAACTATTATCGGTACCAAGTTTTACCCTCGTTGCCGATGCAGATCCGTCTTAACACCTTTACCTTCATAGCACTGAAATTCTGTCATTCTCAGTTATATTCTCATTTTGTTGTAATCTGTTTTTTCTCTCTTTTCTCTTCAAACTGAACTTAATCATTTTCTGCCGCCATTTTATTCTCGGTAACTACAAAAGAATTTCATTTAATTTTCTTCTTTTTTTATCTATGTCTTTTCTTCTCAAAACGCAATCGGCTTTTGAACATCTCTCTCCTTTTAATTCTCCGAGATGTGTTTCCTTTCCTTCTTTCTTCTTTTTGACCAGTTGCCAAACCTCTGATCTGCGACTGTCAGAACATTTACTTCTGTCTTGGGCCGTTCATCTGATCCGTTGACCAGTCAGGAAATTTCGATTTTGTTAATAACCTCCTGTTCCCCCAACTGACATTATAACCTTCTTCTACATAAACTTGTGATAGTGTTCATATATACACATACATGTTTAGTAATATACATACATTTATATTCATGAGTACAAACTGAAAATACACATAGATGCACATCTGATATATATATATATATATATATATATATATATATATATATAAACTGTCGTCTATAATTGAGTACTTCCAAAATAATTTTTCATAGTTAATTTTGTTTTCGTATAAACATAAACAAACAAGTATGTTAATCTTGTAGACATATTTCTTTACAATAATATTCACACTGTAAAAGGCCTAAGAGCCACTCTAGGTAAAGTGTTACAGATAAGAGGAACAGATTGTGGATATGTATGGAAGACAACGTTTAACCCTATATAAGATAATGTTAAGATTGTAATGATCGGAAAAGCATCCTCTTTGGAGTCAGTTCCACAATGGAACTGACTCCAAAAGTTCGTGGGAAGAAGCTGTTCGAGTGGAACTTACATATGGAGTATAGGGCCACAGCTTCACCACGCTCGGGCCACAACCTCACCACGCTAGGCGTTGATGTTTGCTAACTTTATTACTAGAGGGAGTTGCTAGTCCGACGCCTAACCGATTTTGAATTCAGATTTGTATTTCTATACTATACTGTTTGTCAACGGAGTTTAGTGATCTTAGTCTGTCCCACTATTAAGACACTCATACAATCTCATATATAATCATATACATATACAATGATTAAATACAAGGTTTCTTGAATTTTGTAACATTTCGCTGAAGGTTATGCTGTCTGCATTTGAAACCATTGGCAATTTTCACTAAGGAAGATCGTACGTATCAACATCTTTTGCTTCAGAACCAGTAAACCTCAATAAGAATTACTTTTCTATACGGAATAAATATATATTTTTAACAAATATATCTGTACATTCAGATGAATAAATTAGAAAACTTTTCTCCAAACAAAGCAAAATGACTTTTTCCCATTTCTAAGGTTTTTACTTGTACGCAAATTCTTTTGTTTGGAAATATGGTTGCGTTATCTTAAATGAAAAAAATATCTTCTTTTAGTAGTGCGACCCGCCTTATGATAGACTGTACCGCATGCATAGAAATAAATCAATAAATTATATCAATACAGCCTTTTCAAATTGCATGATCTGTAGTATATTCTTATCTTATTCAAAGGGATAGAGAAGTGTATACTGACCGAAGGGAGTATATTCTAGCCGCGTCTATTTTAACCCCAGGGGTATAAACTAGGCTAGCCTAGAATAACCTTGGAGATAATCTGTGCTAATACACCTTCTTAGATGACTGACAAACATTTAGAAAACCGCGAATGTAATCTACTATGAAAATTATGAAAAATATCATATAATACTGCACACCTCGTAAAGTCAGTAAAGTCAAGAATCCAACAGCTATAAACGACAACAAATACTGATTTTAAATAAACTTCATTAATGGCTGCGTTCTTCTTCTTAAGACTGTAAAATATTTATATTTTTCTTTTAATACTGTATAGTGTATTCATAAATATTACCTGATAATGTCTGTTTTATTTGTGCAATCTCTCTGTTTGGATTAGAAGAAATATTATAAAAATCGTATTGGTGCAGTAATTTATGAGTTATACGAATAAATAATCAGAGAAACTTGATAATTTAATGCTTCTAATGCGAGGGAATAAGACTAAATTGTATTAGTAAATAGCAAAGTAGAGATATGCGTGCTGATTGGTTGATTTTGTTAGGCGGCAAATCAAGCTCTATGGATTATTTATATATATGTTGAACGCCATTTTATGTCTTTAACTGTATATAATTTCTCAATATTTTATACATTCAGATATAATTAATATATGTATTTTTTGGTAATTTTATTATAAAAATGTACTGTTGATTGTTTTTAGGGGTCCCTATTTGCCCATATCTGGCACCCTAATAGGTGTTACCACCCCAGACCAGAGTGGATCTTGGAACAACAGTAGTTAAGAGGTGATTCCCCGATCCTCAGAACTTCCAATCATCCGATAAGAGGCATTGCTGCCGCATGTAGTTTATCGTCATACCCAGGAAGGGAATGTGTATATTACACGCTATCTTTTATTTTGTAGTTATTTAAAAGAGTAATGAAAAATATTTAACAATAATTACGGGTACAGAGTGGATGTCAAACATATAGGCAGATGTGAACATTCTACCCTGGATAGATCGGTAGAAAGAAAATTCATGAAATAACAAGAAATATATTCCTCGTGATGTTTGGATACTTTGCTTTTTTTTTTTTTTTCATCGTTTCCTAATCCCAAATCTTAGAGCACAAGTAAAATAAAAGCACGAAAAGGAATAAAAGATATGTTCATTAATATCATGCATACAATCGAAGTAAAGAACGCTGATACTAGAGAAAGAAAAAATAGTTCCGCGATTGATCGAATCCATCGGAGAACTCTTTCACGATGTAAGTGGACAACTGGCAATATTAAAACATATCGACGAACAAGAAATATTAAAATCTGAAATGAAATCAGCACTGGCCAAATTAGACAGAAACAAAGGCGTGTAGCGCTACGGAATTGTAATATATATATATATAGCCACCTTAGATGATTTCGTCATAGATATAATAAATATAATATACGACAGTGGTGATTTACCGGAAGACCTCAGTAGATTCATTTTCATACCACAGCCAGGTGCAAATGAATGTAAACTCCATCAGACAATCAGTTTAATGAGCCATGTAACAAAACTTATCATCCGAATTCTGATGAAAAGACCGCGCGGCAGATTTAGACCAGAAATAAAATAAGGTCAATCCGGTTTCCTTAAAGGCACTGGAACAAAGAATGCAGTATTTATGTTCAGAATTATATCAGAAACTATGTGTGCCTATGTTTTATGAATTATGCAAAAGCGTTTGATAAAGTCCATCCCAAAGAACTGTTAGTACTGATAGGAAACTTTGATATATTTGGGAAGGATATTACAATAAGCAAACCGCCGACATACGTATATGAAACGTATTCAGTACATATACAAAAACGGAAAGAGTTTTAAGACAAGGGTGTGTCGTCTCCCCGGACTCATTTACCCTATACAGTAGGCGATTCTGAAAGAATTACCAGTTTTACTAGGATTCGTTACTGACAACATAAGATATGTAAATGACACAGTACTGATAGCAGATAAGTATCTACAAAACTCTTGAAAGAAAGCGAGAAGAAAGGACTAAACATCAACTGCAATGAGACATAATTCATTGTTATTAACAGAAAGAACAGCCCAACATGCAAATTAAAAATTGGACTGTCTATATTTCTGAGATGAGGTATTATGTACAGTATTTACATTAGTCGGACTATTGTCCTCATCTTTGTCACCATATTTGTCACAACGTTTCGGCCGTTGTACGCTCCGGCCTTCTTCAGGTGTTTGGAATTTCGAAAAATTGGACATATCAAAACCAAACAAAATACCACAATTCTGATTGTGCTCTGAAGTGTTTTAACAGAGGGCAGAAACTGCGACACAGAAATCAGAAGGTGGATTGGGATAGCGAAAGATGCCTTCCAAAAGCTAAGCAAAGTATTAAGAAATGTCTATGGGAGTAGAAATGGTTATTGAATACGGCTGTCAATATGTGTTACGTCCAACTGGTTCAGTTTCTCATAAGCCTCGTTCTCCGACACCTTCCAAAGAAATAAGCAAGAACGTCAGGCGTGTATATGAGTGGCATGAATGCTTTTCGACTAGAGTTTTTTGCCAAATTGAATCATCACCGTTAATATTTTATACAATACTTACTACTCACAAGCATTCATATCTACCTACTATATCCAGATCAAAACTGACATGGTCTTTTCAGATAGTTGCAATTTTATTTGCCATCAATATATATATATATATATATATATATATATATTAAGAAATGGACAAGGTCCGACAATTTATTTATTAAAGACATTTTTTATGTTTAACGTTGTTATTTATAGATACAAGTATTTATCATAAACAGAGCATTTGCTTAAATACTTGTATCTATAAATAACAACGTTAAACATAAAAATGTCTTTTAAATTAAATATATATATATATATATATATATATATATATATATATATATATATATATATATATATATATATATATTATGTTACATTAGAATATGCACATACCTACTACATAACTGTACATCTTGAAAGATGTACAATTTAGTAGTGGGCATGTGCATGTTCTAATATGACACTGCAAAATTAATAAATATTTACGGCTCTAATTTTGTATTGAGGCCTGTTTTAAATGAATATTTTGAACGCTGAAAAATTACTCTTCGTTCTTTTTACACACACACACACACATATATACATTGATAATATTAGTGGTTTATATATATATATATATATATATATATATATATATATATATATATATATATATATAATAAAAAATTCAAGAGGATAGAATCCAGCTAGAACTCAATATGCAGGACAGAGTAAGAATTTGTAGATCTGATGAATCGGATTGTAATTACGATTCCAATGTAATAAATTGTAACCATGGAATATTAGCGTTTAAGTTTTATATATATATATATATATATATATATATATATATATATATATATATATATATATATATATATATATATATGACGTATGAAAAATAATTTTAGAAATCTTAGGGCCGGGTTCCTCACACTAAACTCGATTTTGAGTTATTAAGTTTAAAGTTTACGGTAGACGCTGTTAAATGCAAAAATCTAAGATACAATACAAATATACTTATTACCATAATTTGTGGTCCACAGATCATGTCTTAGCAACGCGACGATAAACAGCAGCAAAGGTTAGATGACTCGGCTACTTTCGGTCTGGAGACGCAATCCGATACAGTCATGCAGACTTGTGTCTATTACCATTCACGCGGTCGTATGTAAAAATCAGTCCAACAATTACT